ATCAAATAATTTTTATTTAAATCTAATAAATTTGATTTGATTTAATAATTTTAGTATATTTGAAGTATAAATATCATTTAATTGATTCAAATAAACATTATTCAAAAATATATATTTGTTAATAATTATCTCTTATTTGAATAAAATTATAAAATTAATTAAATTTCATTACAGTGTAATTGACCAATAATTTAATGAACGCACTTTCCTGTGGTTTTATAAACAATACTTGCATAATAATTTTCAATATAATTATTATAATTACCACCAAATAATCAAATTTTTAATTGATTTTAATTTTAATATCAACAATTTTAGTTAATTTAAAATTAAAACTAATAAAATTGTTTTATTTCTTGATTTAGTAATAAAAATAATACATAAAAAAACAATTTTAAAAAAATTCTATTTTTAGTAAATTATTTTGAAATTGTTTTAAATAAATTGTTCTCAATAAATTATTATAAATTGAGTAAAAATATTAACAAATTTAATTGTTCTAAATAAATTATTATAAATTTGGATTAAAAATTGAAAAAATAAATTGTTCTTAATAAACTGTTTTAAATAAATAAAATTGTTTATAAATTTATTTTTCTAAATAAATTATTTTAAATTAATAAATATATTACCAACAAAACAGTTTAGACATCGTATTACCAATAAGCACAGAAAGAGGTCGTTCCGGTTAATTTATTTTACTTGAGGCAAAAGGTAAAACAGAAAACTGTAAGAAACCAATTTTTTTCGTCATTATTTTCTGCAAAGAAAATAAAAATACAGCAGATGATTAGGCAATCAAATGGCTAAAAATAAAATTCTTTCCTTGTACCATCTCTTAACATCCATTCATAAATTTCTCGACAATAAATTATTCACTTAAATATCTAGAAATAAAATTTAATTCCCCTTACAATATGTAAAATTAAAAATAAATTCCTACGTTCGTATACTTAATAAAATAATAAATAATACAAATTAATAAATTACTATAACAAAGGATTTAAAATTAAAAATTGATTTTAAAATCAAAAATAAATTCCTAGTCGTATAATAAAATAATAAATGATAAAAAATAATAAATTATTGTAACAATTAAAATTAGTAAAACATAATAATAGTAATAATAATAATAATAATATTTAGAAAAATAAAAAATATTATTGATAAAGTAAAGAAAATTTAAACTGAAGTATAATATAGAATTATGTTTAATTAATAATTTTAAAAAATAAACGGTATATTTAATAAATTATTATACAATCGCAGCAATTTATGGTTTTTATCATAACAATTATTATTTATTAATTTAGAAAATTATTTACTGATTTAGAAAACAACGAAGACAATATTAATTTAAGGAGAATCTATTCAGTATGTTTATATTAAAAAATAATACGTAAATATAAGTTTGCTAACTAATTAAAAAACAATCAGTGTTGTATAACAAAGACAATGTTATGTAACACAGTGGTATTCAAATTTTTGCCAAAATTGACATTTAATTATCGAAATTACTAAGGATTTTCTCCTACAACAGAACTGAATAGCAAGTCCTAATTAATCTGGAATAAGAGAAACAGAGAATGAAAAAAAGAGTAAAAGAAGAACAAGTAGAAGTAACAGGTGTCAATCCTTTTATTTACATTTCAAGATCAATGTCTCCTATGAAAAAAATTTCCCTAAAGACTCATTTACACCTTACCACCGTGAGAAAACGAAGAAAAAAAAGCAAAAATCAACTGAAAAAATTTTAACACAACTCAATTTACTTTTTCTGCCAATTCCAACACTATGAAACATTTAATATTTTATCGCACTTTAATTTTTAAATCCCACTTCTAATGACAAATGAAACATAACCTATATAGACTTATGTTTATATATGTCACCCCATAAAAACATCCAATAAAACAAATATTATTTATCACAAAAAAAAGAAAACTAATCAACTTTTAATGTCTAAAAATACAAAGACTAACCTTAAAAACGTGTCATCAACAAAATCATCAATGAATTTTCATGTAATCAATAGATGTCTAGTGGGGTGAGAGGGGACATGTAAGGAAATAATCAAAGCTTTTAATAAAAAAAAAAGAAAATGAGGTCAATTTTTATCGACACTGGGAAATAAATAGAATTAATGTCAATTGACATATGTCAATTAAATAATCTGTCAGAATTGTCGCTAAGCAACTCTCGTTCATTTAGACGATAAAAAAAAGAGATAAAAAAGTAAAAAAAATTCTTTTTTTTACTCACCGCTTTGACCGGTACTGCTCTTACTGGAGGATTGGCCCATTGTCAATTTAGAAAATGTCAGGAACGCGAATAACACGCGATGCACGTGCTTTCACGCAAACAATAACGATAAACATAAATAATCCAAAAATCGAGACATTTTTCTCAAACACATATCACATTAAAACGCAGTGTTTTCTGGTGCGTGAGTTTGCGACAGCAAAGATGTGTGTACGGCTGCTGCCAGCAAGATGATTGGCTGACATTAATTGAGCATGCGCGTGGCGCTTTAATTCAAACCCTTTCGCTTCTACATTGATCTTCTTCAATAGTTAATTAACTTTTAAAAAACAATTAATTATCTTTATGCTATAAATTTAATTTCTAAAAACAATGGCCGATAATTCAAACATTCGAATTATTGTTTTAGAAAGAAAATATTTGAAACAGGTTAATGAGTATTTACAATAATTAATTTCCGAACAAATCGAATTAATCGAATATTAGTCAATATTTAATTTAGTAAATATTATTCAATATTAATTAAATTTTTGTAAATTTTATTTAATATTAAATTATTAATAATTTAAAATCAAAATATTCCGGCAAATAAATAACAAATGATAAAAAAAATAAAAATTGATGAAAATGATGATATCATCATTTTCATCAATTTTTTTCATTATTTATAATTTTTTACATAAAATATTGATACTTTAAAATAAAAGTATTTAAAATAAGCATCAAATTTTGCCAAAAAATAATAAAAATTATATATCATCAATTTCATCATTTTTTTTTTAAAGGAATAAGATCAATTTTTTTCATTATTTGTAATTTTTATACATAAAATATTAATAATTTAAAATAAAAGAATTTAATTAAATAAGGAGCAAATTTTGACAAAAAATAATAAAAATTTAAAAAATAATATATCATCAATTTCATCAATTTTTTTTTTCATTATTTGTAATTTTCTACATAAAAAATTAATAATTTAAAATAAAAACATCTAATTAAATAAGGAGCAAATTTTGACAGAAAATAATAAAAATGAACAAAATTATGACATCATCAATTTCATCAATTTCTTTGTTTTCATTATTGTTTGTTTAAATATGCCAAAAGAGCAATTTTTTCATTATTTGTAATTTTTTACATAGAATATTAATAGTTTAAAATAAAATTATTTAATTGCATAAGGAGCAAATTTTGACAAAAAATAATAAAAGTGAAGAAAATGTAGATATCAATTTCATCAATTTTTTCTGTTTTTATACATTTTTATATAAAAATGGAAAAAATCAATTTTTTTATTCTATTATAATTTTTTATATTATATTAATAATTTAAAATTAAAATATTTAATTAAATAAACAACAAATTTTGACGAAAAATAAAAACGAACAAAATATGATATCGTCAATTTCATCAATTTTTTTCGTTTTCATGAATTTATATAACTATGAAAAAGAAAAAAAATCAATTTTTTTTCTTTTTGGTATAATTTTTTATATTATATTAATAATTTAAAATAAAAATATTTAATTAAATAAACAACAAATTTTGCCAGAAAATAATAAAAATGAACAAAATGATAATGTCATCAATTTCATCAATTTTTTCCTTTTTATAATTTAAAAAAAAAATGATAAAAAAAAATTGATGAAATTGATGATTTTTATAAAAAAAAATTATAAGAAAAGGAGAAAAATGATGAAATAAAATTTAAATTTTATTCAAAACTATGATAATAGAATATAATTGTAAAACGCACAAATTTTAGCAAAAACCGAGAAAATAATTTTAATTCCATGGAATTTTATTTTTTTCGGAGAAAGTATACATTTTCATCAATTTTAATTCCATAATGCACAAATGTAATGTCCATGGAAATTATCTTTGCGTGATATATTAGTATGCAAGAGGAGTTTTTGCTTTTCTTTTTGTTATTATTTTTCTTTTTTCTCTTTAAATGAAAAGAGAATCACGCGATCCTAATCCTTATCTAACGGGTGTTTCAATAAACTTTAATTATTACCATGGAAATATAAACAAAATTTTCGAAATTCAATTCGGGAAATTTTAAGTTTATACTGAAATTTAAAAAATTATTATTTAATATATTATTGTTATTACTTATAAATATATTTATTTATTATTATTTATTAATATTTATTATAATTATAAATATTATAAATACTTAATAAGTAAATAAAAATTACCCTAATTTAATTAACTATTAAATAAATAAATATTTTTTCATGCGGTTACAATAAATATTCGTGTAAAAATAAAATTTATTTGAACCAAAATAATTATAGATTTTGATAATTTTTTCAAAATATTTTGCATTTTGATCGAATCTGTTAATTAGTTAAATATTTTTTGTATCAAAAAAATATTTATTAAAATAAATATTAACAAATTTATAATATTCTCTCTCTAATGAAAATTTGACACCTTTCAAAAAATTAATTATTATAAACGATTCATTAATTCTCAAAGTATAAATATTCATTGAAACAAAAACTTGTTGTTATCAACTATAGAATTAAAAATTTCACCTAAATTTTAATATAAATAAATTAATTAATTATTTTTAATAAAATAAAATTTAATTTCAATAAAAAAATTTAATTATATTCAATGGAAATTAAAGCTTTTTAAATTAAAAAATTGCACTTTGTTGCATGTATTCTTTGCACTCGACACTATGCGTCTATATAGATATACACAGTAGAGAAAATATTATGTATATTATTGTCGAGTGTACAAGTTCCCTTGGTTACTTATAATCACAACATCCTCAACATCGACGAGCTCCACTTTGTTTGTTCGATGATACTCGTTGTTCCACTTCAGAAAAAAATGCTAATTTTTCCCGGAAAATTACTAAAATTAGTTAACAATAAAACATTGACGTCAATCTATAAATTGTGATCATTGTAATATAGTGATTAAAAGAAAATATAGAAAAAAAGCAAATTCTTCCTTCTAAAAAAATTAATTATTAATTATTAATTAATTAATTATTAAATAAATAGTAAGAAAAATGAGTAAATTTAATTGTAAATACTGCCTGAGTTTATTTATTCTAATTCTTTTTGAAATTCCACATGGGGGTGAGTTTTTCGAAAATAATTGTACTAAACGATTTATTTTTAAAAATAAAACATGAATATTAATGAAAATATTAATAATAATAATAATAGTTTAATATTAATCATTTTTATTATTAAAATTCCCTTTTTTATAGAGGGTCGTGAAAATAATAATTATTATTTTTTTATTATTATGAAGTTTTGAGTAATTTTACTTAAATTACTTGACAATTGATTTTCGATTGAATTTCAGGCAAAGCTTTGGATTGCTTTCATTGTGTTTCAATTGGAGGTGATAACAAACCCTGTGATGACCCATTTCATAATAATGGAAGTTTGGAATTTCTAGAGTCCCCTTGTTTAGGGGGTCGTAAAAATCGAGATGGTCTCTTCCCTGCAACCGCTTGTGTAAAAATAGCGGGAATTTACTGTAAGTAAAAATTAAATTGAAAAATAAAAAAAAATTTTTTTAAATAGCTAATTGCATTAATAATTTAAAAATATAATTCATTAGAATAATTAATATTTAGAAACAATAAATTTTATAAATTTAATAAATTAATAATTAATATTTAAAAATAATAAATTTAATTAATAATTATTTCAAATTAATTCATACAGTTAATTAAGATAAATAATTATATAATAAATTAAATTACATAATTGATTGTATAAATTTAATTTATAACATATTTAATTATATAATTAATGAATATTCTGAAAAAAAATTTATTTGAAGCAAATAACCGATGATTTGTCAATTATTAAATATTTACTTAAATCAAATAATTTTTAATTAAATCAAATAAAATGTGAATCAATAAATTCAGAATTTGATACAAATATGCTACTTGATTCAAATAAAAATTATTTGATTTAAGAAAATATTTATTTGATAATAAACAAGTAATCGGTTATTTGGAATCAAATAATTTTTTTTTAGTATGTATATTTAATTTTAACAATTAAATTTTTAATTTACATAATTATAATCGAATATGTTAATTATAATTTCAATAGATTGTAAACTTAATTTAATTTGCATAATTAATTACATACAAATATGTAAAAAAAAAATCTGTTAATTTTAATAAAGTAAAGATTAAATTTAACTTGCTTAATTAATAATAATTACAGACGACTCTGGTGTGTCATTAACAATTAGAAGTTGCGCTTTAGACAGTGGTACATTGACGACAGATTCCGAATTGATACGAATGTCCCACTGTGGATCATTTTATTTTGATAATAAGTGAGTTTTTTTCTCCATTTGGAATTTATTTCTATTTGGTTTTTTTTCTCCATTTTTCCTCAATTTTTTTCAGTAAAAAATTAATAATTAAAATTTTCAATAAATTATTATTTATATAAATTAAATCGAAAATATTTCTTTCAGATACGTTAAAGGTTGCGTTCAATCGTGTAGTGATGCTGACGCTTGCAATCAATCTACTCGAAATTTAAAACCAACAATTCTTCTTTTAATATCCTTCCTCACTCTAAAATATTTCTAAATTAAATCTCTTTAGTCATAATATAAAAAGAAAAAAATTCTTTTTCTTATATATTAATGAACACCAATTTTTAATCTTACTGTGATCGACTTGTTTTCAATTTTTTTTTGGATTCTAAATCCAAAATTGAAAATTGGAAAAAAAATCATTCAGCTTTAATTCGAAGATTTAAAAAAAAAAGTTATAAACTATTTTTCAATGTGTTCACTCACTGTGTTCATTTTTTTTACAAGGAGAAAAAAATTGTGCCTTCATTTTTTACGTATATTTTTGAAAAGAAAAATATTTCAAAGTCTGTTATAAAATTATATTATTATAGAAGATAAAAGAAAATTATTATAATAGAAAATAAAGAAATATATTAGAGAAGATAACAAAAAATATTAGAGAAAATACAAAAATAATAAGGAAGATAAAAAAATATTATTATTGTTAAGTTTTAAACTGATTATATAAATAGTGTTAAATAAAATTTTCGTTCTACACAATTTTTGCTAATTAAATAAAAATTGTATTCGAAATATTTATTGTTTCCTGAAAGAAGAAGCCCTTTCTTTGCTAACTTCAAATTATTTTTAATTTATAAAAATGGTAGTAGTCAACAAAACTCTCAAATACTGTAAATTGTTGCTTCTATCTATTCGAAAAAAAAAGAATAAAAATTCTATTCATTCAAACAAGAAGAGAATTATTTTTTCTAAAGAAAATAATTAGAAATAATTAAACAAAACTTAGTATCAATTACAAACAAATAATAAAAATAACAATAAAATAAAAAATAATTAACTATAATAATCGTCGTATTCATAATAAATAATAAAATCTTCACCATGAAGGTGGATTTTCAAGAATCATTTGTTTCCTGTCAAATATTAATTAATTCCGCTATTCACACCATGAGACCTGTCATTCTACAATGTTTCCAAATTATATTGTCATAAATTTTTTAAACGAATTTTGAAAATTAAAAACACTGTTTAAAATGAGGGGTCCAAGTATTTATAATGTTTTCGATCAATTTTTGGATTTTCTCATGGGCATTGTCAGCTGGTTTTGGGACACAATTGAATTACTTGTGGACATATTTCTCGAATTTCTCACAAGAACACTGGAACTGATAATTGTCCTGATGAATCTCCTATTTCAGGTGATTTGTTTTCTACGCGATTTATGCATCGAAGCGATGCAAACATTTGCCAATGTCTTTCAAGGAATTGTTAATGTCATTGGAAGTATTACATGCGACGATGTTGAGGATTTTGCCTCCGCTTGCATCGTCGTTTTATTATGGTTGGGAGCTATTAAAGTTGTTATCAGCATTCTAAATCAGGTATGATAATTATTATCTCGTAGATTTTTGCCAAAAAAAAAAAAAAATATTTTTCTAATTTACGAGTCGCTAGAAAATTAAGAATCATGATTTTTTCATGTCAAAAGATTAAATTTTTTTCTAATAATGAAAATTTGTATTTTTCAATTAAATAATTGTAATTGAATAATAGTAATTTAATAATTATTAAATAATTATAATTAATAAATTCTTTTTTGTACTCTACAAATTTATTTTTGTTTTCTATTTTCTATTTTCTATTTTCGAAATTCAATTTTCATTTTATCACTTTCATTCAGAATTCTACTTTCGAATTAGTTTCTGAAATAATTGAAATTAAAAATAAAAATTTACATACAGTGTATAGAAATTTCGTTGAAGAAATGAAATTCTGATTTTCTAGCGACCTCGAGCGAAGAGTAGAGAGAAAAAGAGGGTTTCAGAATTTTTACAAAGCGTTCCTCGTAATCATCTCACGCTCACGATATTCTCGAGTCTGTAATTGCTTCAAACCCAAAACGAAAAATCTGACACAAAAACCAGGTAACTCACACGATCCATTAATTACAGGAATGCTCTCTCATAACATTCAAAACATTCCATTGAGTTATCTGGTTCTTGTATATTGTGCCAAAAATTTTCATACAATTTAAATACAAAGTATATTACAAATTTTTTGCAACAAAATAAAAAACAGAATAAAAAATAAAAAAAAAAATAGAATAAAAAATAGTAGAAAATAGAATAAAAAAATAGTGGAAAATAGAATAAAAAATAAAATATTCAATAAAATACTATCATCAATATTTTATTGAATTTATTTTCTATTCTCTATTAGTTAATTTGCCATTTTCCAATTGTCAAGTATGACAAACGAAATATTTATCAAAACAAAACGTTTTCAAGTTTTGTTTACATTTTCTCATAAAGCTAACTTTTGGATAGAATTTAAATTGAAAAAAATCGGAAAAAAAATTTTAACAAAGATTTTCATACCTTTTGTTGATATATAAACGCTATTCATTCTACAGAATGCAATTTCAGCAAATTGTGGCAATTTATTTTTGCACTAAACGACACTTTTCTTTTGACACAAAGACGAAGATTTTTCTTTTAAATTGTGAAAATTTACACTTACTTCTTCTTTGTTTGTAATTTTTCTCTTTTCCTGAAGTATTTACACTTTATATAATTAATAACTAAAGGAAAAATATTTTTTTGAAAAAATATTCAGAAGGAAGAAAAGCCTTCCGTTACTGCTCTCAATCGCTCGTTGTCGACGCTATTGAGTATAGTCGTTAATTACACTAATGTACTAATCAGCTTCAATGACATACCGTTCAATTTCAGAATTCTGGCTTTTCCTTGTTCAATCCACTTGCTAAATCGGACTCACTGGGGTGCTCTGCAGGTAGTATTAAATTAGAGGAATGCTGTGCTCCAAGACGAGCAACGAAACGAAGAGGTTTAAATCGAAGACGAGGTCGACGACGCTTCAATTCACCTTCTTGATTATTAGGTAAAATATCCGAAAAATTGTTATTTTCCTAAATAAAAAACTAAACAGAACTTTTAAATTAAATAAACACTTTAATAATTTAAAAACACATTTAAAAAAAAAAAATTATTGAAATGATTTTTGTAAATGAATAATTTTTCTCAAATTTTTCATTTTAATTATTTCAGCACAACAAAACGCAAAGTGAGTCAAGAAACTGTAAATGTCTCTTTGTCAATTGTTGTAACTGTTTTGCAAATAAAGTTTTTGTCTTATCGTACCTCTTTTAATTTTATTTTTTATAATTTTCTCTCTTTACTTAATTATTGAGACCTATTTTCTATTTACTTTATTTAAATAGAAGTAATAAATAGTAAATAGAAAATAGAAAATTAAGAAAAAACACTAAAATTAAGAATACTTTCAAAAATGATTTAAAACTTTCATTCATTTATTTATAACAAAGTATATATATAAAATATAAATACGTAATTCGCTTTGTTTTATCTATTAATAACTATGTACAAAATTAAATAGCTAACTTTCATTACGAATCAAAATTTCAAAATTATTCTTATTCTCCAAATCATAATGGAAAAGTTGATTAGTAACGAAGTTGTACTAATTCGAATTATCTTACTTGTTAGTTGCTTCAATTGATTGCAATCAATTATAATAATAAGTTAACTAAATTACTTGATATGTCATTATAACATGAAAGAAAAAAAAAATTAACGTAGCTGCACGAAGAGGAATTAAACTCATTCTATTTTTGTAAGTAACAAATTAAGAAAATGTGAATAATTAACTATCTAATAATTCAAAATTCATTTTATCAAATGATTTCGAATATTTTTTGGAATTATCTATAATTGTCGATCTGGTAAAAGTTAAAATTCAGTCAAGGAAGAGTAGAGGAAAAACTTACAGAATTTTTTTTTTTGTTTTGTTTCGAAATGATGAATGATCGATGATTCGACGGGACGTTTTGACGTTAATCATTAACTATTGTTATGGCGAGATTATGTTCCGGCCAGGAGAACGTTTTTGGAAGCTGTATCTGAAAAAATTAAGTAGGAAATTATTTTTCTAAAATAAAATTGTGATAAAATCAGATAAAATGAAAATAAAGAAATTTTGATTATTGAAATTTTATTTTCAATTAAATTATTTAAATAAAATTTTTAACTTAATTACTTAAATTAAATTTTTGACTTATTGAAAATTATTTAAATTTAATGAAATTATAATAAAATTCCTCGAATTTCGGATTTAATTTACTAAAAACTATACTAGAGAAATAAAAACGAAAAAAATAAGAACATTTAAACATTTAAAGTAAAATACTAACTTGTGAAGGCACATTTAAAATTTGAAACTCATACGACATTCTTTCGGCCAAATTCTCGGGCAATAAAACTTGTAACCACGGTCCCTGGACGACGTACGGTTTGTCTTTTGTGACTAATGTTCCTGTGACGGAAGGTGCAACGATTGTGACCGCAGCGTGCGATAAAATAGATTTAAACGTGAAATGTCGACCATGCATTACACGTCCTCTGCAAAAAAGAAACCAATTTTTTTTATCAAAAACGAGAAAAAAAATTCTCGAAAAGAAAAATAAAAAATATAAAAGTAAATTAAACTTTTCTTTAAGACAAAAATGATTACTTTATTGCTAATGGTAATAAACTTCCAGCCTCCAAATTGAAAGTCAAATGAAGACCAGGAAGTGTTTTGGCACCGTTTTCATCCGTCGCCTGTTCATCGTTTTCCGATGGCGATAATCTTTCAGCTTTTACAACTGGTTTTATATCCTCTTCATCGTCAGAATCTTCTCTTATCTCTCGATATCTTTCCCTGCTTTTGTCTCCGGAGATTTGCACCCACCTGTGATAATGTAAAATTTATTTTCTTCTTACACTTCTCTTAAATTAGCCAGTTTGCATTTTGCAATTGTTAGAAAAATTAAAAGAATAAAATTCGAATTTTTTTTTAAATTAAAAGAATAAAATTCGAACTCGAATTCGAATAAAATTCGATTAGTAGAAAAAATCCAAATTATTGTAAAATTCAAAAAATAAGATCCGATTAATTGTAAAATTAGAAGAATAAAATCCGAATTATCGTATAATTAAAAGAATGGTACGAAAAAGAATTTTCTGAAAGTGAAAATTGATTGTTTGTTGAAAAGAAAACTGACCAACATTTCGCTGAAACGCCACTAAGATTCGAGCCTTCTCTCTCGATTCCATTTTGAATTTTAACCGCTGCCGATGGATCCTCGTCCATTATCGAGTGGATTCTTCTCATATCAGTCAAGAGCCAAGGTCCGCAGCCACTTGAAGTTTTTAAAAGATTAACGACACCCAATCCGTTCCAATGTTGCGCTGCCTGTAATTCCTCGGACGTCACGCCGATAATTTGTACAAAAGAAACCTAAAAGAGAGAAAGAAGTTACATTTATACAATAAAAAAAAAATTACATTTGTAGAATTAGAAAAGAAAAGTAAATTTTAAATTATAATATCTTCTTGTGTGTTGAGAATATGTAAAAAATAGAAACTTACTTCTCCATAAGGAGTGGTGGCTGACGACGGTAATTGTGGATCTTTGCCCATTAAAATTTGCGTAATTCGACCATTTCCATTGTCGAGTGCCGCATGCCAAGAGACGTGATCGCCCGGCAATAACATATTACTAGAATTAAAGACATATTTCGCTAATTGCTGCATTACATTCGCAGGCCATGTTGGCGGTGTCGTTTCGCCACGTTCTCGCACCAATCGAAATGTCAATTCAAAACCAAATCCACTGGGACGACCTGGACCCGATTTCGGATGTAATCTACCATCTCCGTGAAGATCCGATAAACCAAAACTGCAAAAAAGAAAAGTTATTAATATTTTTCTCTAGAACGAAAGAATAAAAGACGCAAGCAATAATAAACGTACTAATTAGAATGATTTAAAATTTCTTTATCTATTCTATTATTATTATTATTAATTAGTCATTCTATTAATATCCTACACAATTATCGTTACAAACGAAACTGATTTTTCGATAAAGAGAGGGAGATTTTTCACAAATCCGGGGAGAAAGAATGATTCATTAATGTACATTCATCGTCTAGACGTTCCATCAATGGCGTTATATAAATAAATGCATACAAGGCGCAGACTTTGAGAGTATAAAAAAAAGAGGAAAAAAAGAGGAAGAAAAAAGAAAAGAAGGAAGAGACTTGAACTAAGAAAGGGGAAGTACTGAGATCTATTTCCGCCGGTGCACCCTATGGCTTTAACTGAATTATTCTTCTGCACCCTACACTCTATATATAAAACATTCTATTACGACAGCTGTTTTTCTTGAAAAGTTAAGACAAAAAAAATCGTTTTTTCACTCCCCACAAAAAAAAACATAAATGTCAATGGCACGCGACAAAATTTCTCTTATTTAGAAAACGTCAAATTTGTTTAATTTTAGACAAAATAATTCAAATTCAAATTGTCAAGTTTTCAATTCAATTAAATAGTAAAAATATAGAAATGAATATAGAAACTAATTCAAATTCAAATAAATATGAAATCAAATTGTCAAATTTTCAATTCAAGTATTAAATAGTAACAAAATAGAAATGTAAAAAGTTATTGTGCGTAATTCACTTATTTAGTGTATTAATTATAATTATTTCAATCTTATTTAAATACAATAAAAATTCTCTCATTTCCGCTAAATATTTTACGTAATTATTTACTAATATTTCTTATTTAATCCACACATGTGTTGGCACGTGCACAAATGACAGAATTCTGAAAAACAACTCTCAGTTTGAAGAGCCTCGACAAAATTCCTAACTTCCTGTCTCTTCCCCTAATTTAACTATAATCCCTTTTTTACAATCGCCTTGAATTTTTTATCCATTTCCAAATTTTTTCTAACATTAAAAAAATATATTTCCACTAAGTATACTTTGTTGACTTTAAGAAAAATTTAATTTAACGTCTTCTAATTTTCAAAGTTATAAATAAAATGAGAACATAAAATATAATTTTACGTAATAAAAAATTTCACAGTAATATTCGTTATTTTATAACTCTTCGCAGCATAAAGTTTTGATTTCTTCGAAGAATATTCCGAGCCTAGGGCGGAGTTGAAAGTGAAACCATAATTTATGTTTGGGTCGACAGATCGTTGAGGGACACTAAACATTTGTATGAATTGTAATTTCGAAAAATTCGGAATAAAAGCCACTTGAAAATTTTTAAATGAGAAGAATAAACTAAAATTAAAAAATAAAAATTAATAGTTAAAAATCAGAGAATTAGAATAAATTACTACCTGACATAATGCCAATGAGGTGGAACTCCAATTTCTGGACATCCGGGATTCTCGTACATGCTTATATAGTCAAGAGGGTCTGGACCACCCAACCTGGTTACAAAAACAAAAACGTTTTACTTCTTTCACAGTAACTTGAAAGATTAATTTATAATTTTGAAAGTATTCTCCAATTATTGCTTTTTTCAATTTATTATATACAAATTCAAAAAGTTATAAATTAATTAGCACAAAATAAATATAATAATATAAGTATACAGTAATTAACGAAAATAAACGAATAAAAAATAATAAAGAAGAGAAAAGAAAACAAATGTATAAATAACCTGGAATCTATTAAATTAAAGGAATGTAGCGATAAATAAATAAAAACTTCTACAAGTCTGTATCAAAATTTAAAAATCTAAATAAACAATAAAAAATAATGTAAACAAAAGAGTATAAATTCACAATCAACAATAATTTGAAACAAAAGTAGAAATTATAAGAAAAAGATCATTAAAAATTGCCTCTTTCATTAATGTTACAAATATTATAATTATTATATATATAATAATCTATTGCAAATAAAAATATAACTATAACAAAAGAAAGGAATTTATACATACAAAAAGAAAAGGACACTTTAAAGAAAAGTTTGAACAATAGGTTAAGTACAAGATAAAAATGAAAAGATCCTTTTTAGAAACTCACCAGTATTTAACAATAGCTGTCACAGTGAGAGGATTTCCTTGGTTAGGATAAATTTCTTTACAAAAACTGTGTAAGGCGTCGAGGCCCAAGGCCCGCGGTGAACATCCTGGAATTGGTTGATACGGTGGAAAATTTCGAGGAAAGTCCTCCCTTTCCCTCATATTTCCATACATGTAGGCAAATTTTTTCTTCTCAAAACAATAGTCCTTGAAAAATAAGGAATCCACGTTGATTCCAAATGCTTAAAACTGCACAAAAAACAAAAAAAACTTTCAATTTTTTACTTTAAAACATTTTCTAAGTGTTCCACTCTCGACAACAGGACAGACGACAATTGGTGAAGCGCTCTGAAATTTCCGACATTTCCCAAGAAAACCACTATGCGCAGAACTACCAACAGTGATGAAAGAAAAACTTCTAAATTTTAGGGAGAAACTGAGTGATGCGTTTGGTAACACTGGGCAAATTTGACAGCTGTTATTGTTGACAAGTGTGGATTTTAAAACTTTTTTTAATGAATACATATTTCAGTATTTGTGTTTTATTACAGAACTCCTAATGAATATGACGAGTTCCAGGATAAGAGAACTTTTATCTAGTTCTATTTGTTCCAAAAATGTCATTATCCCGGAGATTATTTTCATAATGATTTATTTAACAGTACATTTACAAATGGATTTTAAAGTACATAATTTTTAACTGAATAAATAATTATTTAGAACAATTTAATTAAAATGAAGTCTTCTAAAGCAGGTATGTTTTATATTAAAATTATTACAGAATTCTTTTTGAAATTTGACTGTTTACATTTTACTCTAAGTCATTTTGAGGTTAGGTTTGTATAAAGACAATTTGCGAAAAATATATATTTTTATCAAGTTTTTTAATAACAGGAAATGTTTAATAATTTCTTTACAATCACAATTACATTTTTACAACATCTACATTTACAATAGTAAAAGCTCTGCAAATTTAAGTTAATAAACAATTAATAATTGATTTTTCTGCTTTGCTAAAGTAATTGTATTTTTTTTTAGGAAAACATGAGTACACTGAATGGTTTTTGTTTGGTTACAAATTGTTGGTTGTCTTCTTTTCCATAACTATTTTTTTATATGGATTCTTTCCTTTAGTTCAATATGAAAATTCGGTTGCCAATATGAAAGATGTTCCACAATTTGTAGAGAAAATCAGGTAAAGCAAGAATTCAGATATTTTTATTTGAAAATTTTCTATTCTTGAAATTATTATTATTTTTTTATAGATGAAGGAAGATAAATGAAAACATTCGGACAATTAATTTTAAAAAAATTGTTTTACTCCAACGTTTTGAAATTTAACGAATAACTTATTTTCCTTCATCTATAATTAATATTTCTCGGACGTAAAAAATTGATTAATAATATTATTTTTTTGAAAAATAAATTTAAAACTATGAAAAAAATGATTATTTCAGAGTGAAAACAGAAGAGTTGTATCAACCGATAGCAAAAAGAATTGTAATAATGGTAATCGATGCATTTAGATGGAATTTTGTTGCTGATAGTACGATGAAAGACTCGATGCCAATTTTACAAAGTCTCATAGAAAATAAATTGTCATGTTTACTTCAGGGCAAAGTTAATCCACCGACTGTAACGATGCCCAGAATAAAAGTAAGAACTTTTTTGTATTATCACTTCAATTATCGAAAAAGTCACTTTTCCGAAGTAAAAATGCTAAATTATTATTAATTGAGACTAATAAAAAGTATTTTTGAAAAATACAGGCTGTAACGTCGGGCACGGTTCCCAGTTTCATTGATGTTGCTTTAAACTTGGGTGGAAATACTGTAATTGGTGACAGCATTTTGAAACAAGCAAAAAATCACGGTCATAAATTAATTTTCTACGGCGATGATACGTGGCTGAAACTTTTTCCAAAGACATTCTCACGTCACGATGGAACGACCTCGTTTTTCGTGACAGATTATACTGAGGTACTTTTATTATTTAACAACCAAAAAAAACTTAATTAAATTTTTTCTAATCGCCAATTTTGAGAAAACTGGAGATTAGGAAGAAGCACTAGAAATAATTGAATTTTCATTTTATTTAGAAATAAAATTGTTGTTAATTCGCAGGTCGATAATAATGTGACACGTTATTTAAATAAGGAACTTCATAGGAACGATTGGTCGGTAATGATTCTTCATTACTTAGGTTTAGATCACATAGGGCACATGGCCGGTCCATTCAGCCCCTTAATTAAGCCAAAACTCAAAGAGATGGACGAGATTATTGGACGAATTCAATCGCGAATGACTCACTGGGTTCGTGAGATTTACAAAAATAATAATAGATAATAATTTAGTAGTTGATTCATAGTAGAAAATAAATTTAACAGTAGATTAATAGTAGAAAATTCTTTTCTTTTCAGACGAAAAATAATATTCCTTCTTTATTTATTGTTTGTGGTGATCATGGAATGAAAGATTCCGGTGGCCACGGTGGTGCAACAAAAGAAGAAACATTGGTACCAATTGTAACAATTGGCACTTCTTGTCCAGAAATAAATGGCGAACCACGTCAAATTGCACAAATTGATTTAGCATCGACACTTTCTGTTCTTCTTGGAGTTCCAATTCCTTCATCGAATCTCGGAACTGTTTCCTTGGATATTTTGAATGATTTACCTGTGCAGAAAAAATTATTTATTCTCTATTACAATTCACAACAATTGCTCAATAATTTCAAGGAAATTCCGAATTATAAAGCACAACGTAAGTTTTTTTTCTGTACTTCGAATTTTTTTAATATTCTAGATCTAGAATCTTGAAGATAATTTCAATTTCTACAGGAGCGTACAAAGAGCATGAGAATGCGATTAAATTCCACGTCGCTTGGTTAAATGCCAATGGACAATCAAATGAAATGGTAGACGATATTATTAAAATGTATCGTAGTTCACTTGAAGGAATGAGGGAAATTCTTGTTCATAGTATGATAAAATACGACGTGCCGATTATGACGATAGCCTTGATTTTCCTATTTCAGGTAAAAAAAACATTTCCCAAAAATTATAATTTCTATAATGCAATAATAATAATAATTTACATTCAATATTGAATGTAACGTTTTATAAATATAACATTTACTAAGATTATAATTTCTCTTAATATATTATTATTAATTATTAAATAATAATAGTAATAATAATAATAATAATAATAATAATAATAGTAATTTTTAAAATAGATTTTATATATTATGGTGAATGCTCAAAGTCATGGAGATTCATCATTGTTGAAAGTGATGTTAACTCTTACGGCAACTGTACTTTTATGGTTATTGTTGAATTATTTATTTGAAGAAGAGGGCCATTCAGTATTATATTCCAATGGATCGAATAGTGCAATTCTCACAACTTCCATCGTTTTAATTTTAGTGTGTAACAGTTATCTGTGCACAAAATTCAAGTTCAACATTCCGAATACTAGTCAGGTACGAATTTTTCTAATGAAACAAATAAATAAGTAAAAAATTAGAATAGAATAAAAACAGAAATTAATTTTCAATAAAATTGAAGTTTTATTATAATAATAATATTAATTCATATTATTTAATGTTAATAAAATAATATTAATATTAATTCATATTATTTAACATTAATAGAATAATATTAATATTAATTTATATTTATTAATAATTATAATTAGTACAATTTTAAATAAACTATTACACAAAAAATTATAATTTCAGATAAAAAAATATAACGTGATGAAAGTATCTCTTATTATTGGAGGTTTATTACATACAATTAGTCTAACAAGTAGCAGTTTTGTTGAAGAGGAACACCAGACTTGGTATTTTTTCTGGTCCACTTGTTTACTCTATGGTTTCTATGATATTGTCTTTAGATGTTCTTCGTATCGATTGAGGTAGATTTAAATTTTGAGAATTATTTAAGAAATGCAAATCTTGTATTAATTTTATTTTTCCTTCCAGTGAATACTCACGAGTTGATATTGGAATTAAATTAATTTTAGTTCTCCTGTCACATAGATTCTTGAGAAATTTGAATAGCACTGGCAATAAATATGCCCATTTGCCAGATATCTCCGATTGGCTTCTTGATCAAAATCACAAAATCGGATTATCACTTTTTCTAATTTTAGGTATTTTTGAAAACAAATTTCTTCTAATACATAACTTTTTTTTATTTTGTCAAATTTGGCAAATTTATTTCTATTGCTATATTGGAAAATATATTTTTTTTATTTCAGGACTAGCTCTGTTAATTAAAATTGATTACTATTACGAGGAACAGAAGTTCAAGAAACCTTGTCTTTTAATTAATTTATCATTGGCATCTTGCATCTATCTTCGACACATGGTGACTGGAACTGTTTCTGGAATTCAATTTTATCCAGATTCAAAGTAAGAATCAATTTTATTAATTAGAATACGAATTAATTTAAAATTATTTTAGTTAAAATTAATTAATTTTAAATTAAAATACAAAATTAATTAATTTTAAATTAAAATTGAATTTAACGAAAATTAAAACTAAATTCGAAAAAAGTTTATAACTAATTTCTTGTATTTTATTGTAGAGGAATCTTCGAGGTGCAGATATTTTGGTTTTTAATCTTAGTCTATATTTCTCATTGCTCGCTGCGATTGATAAAAACAGGACAGCAAATGAGAGAAAATGTATTACCACAATTTTTATTTTTTCTTGTTCACGTGTGGGTGATGATATCTGCTCTTTTACACAGACCACACAATGTTATTCTATTACCTATACAATTATTATGCGCTTCGGTCATTCAAATGATTACAAAATCATGTAAACTTGAAAAATTACGTATAATACTCTACATCTGGTTGGGGAACGTTTTTTATTTCTATCAGGTAATTATTTATAGAGAAAATAAATTTCAAATAAAATTCTTATTAAATTTTTCTTATATTCTTTCTAGGGAAACTCGAACAGTTTTGCTACTATTGACGTTGCCGCAGGATATGTCGGACTAGAGTCATACAGTATTTCAATAGCAACAATATTTATAACTATAAATACATTTTCAGCGCCTCTTCTTGCTTATTTAGTACTTTTATATTACGAGACACAAGAGAAGCCAAACATGTACGTAAACTAGTCAAAAATAATATTAATTGATCTGATAATTAATTAATAATTCTTTCTAAAAAAATTATAAATAGAAATATCAGATGAAATGTACGAGAATAATTTGTTCTTTTATTTTCAGTTCGTGCCAAATAGTTTTAGGAATTAACAAACAATTTATTATATGGAGACTGTTGCCAATTACTGTTTATACTGTAATTGTTGCAATTCAACGTTATCATCTTTTTATTTGGACTGTTTTTTCTCCAAAGTTAATTTACGAAGCAATATATACAGCTGATTTGTTTATAATTGTTTCTCTTGTGCAAATCATTTTTATAATGTACAAGTGAAAATTGTGATATAATATTATTGAAACTGTCAATTGAAAGAAACTATTCTAAAATTTTCTCTAATAGTAATAGATAATTTACAATGAATTTAGATGACTATACAATTTAATAGAAATATTTAATATAATTATTTATTATTACAATTACAATATTGTAGAGAAAGATTATTATAATAAAAAATGAGAATTACTAAAATTTATAAATTCTAAAAACTTTATTTAAAAAAAAGTTTACTTTTTATATTTATAAAAGTTACACTTACTTGGATAATTAATTCAATATTTTTATTTTTATTTTAAATTGAAACTTTACTTTTCGTGTGCAAGTAAAAGTTTTCAAAAAGAGAAAAGTTGAAAAGCAAGTTTATCAAAAAAAAAAATGAAAATCTAAAAAAAGTCCATAAATGTCAAATGCTATTGAGAAAAATATTTTAACCCTTAACTTGAAATTCGAGAAAACAATTTTATACTAAATCATGATGATAAACGAGAAACATACTTTCGGTTATTCTTGTGTATCAAGTATAATTGCTATTTTTATATTAATTTACTCTAGCAGTCCAAAATTGATGCTGAATTTTGCTTATGACAAGAATTTTGTGGATACTATTAAAGACGATGGGTATTAATCTAAATAAAATAAATTTTATTTATTAATAATAAAATAAATAATTAAATATTCTGTATGTATTTTATTAGTAAGTTCATTTTTTCTTTTAGATTGGAACCAAACAGACATTACTCTCCTCATGTGAAGCACTTATTCCTTTTTATTGTCGATGGATTTGAAACAGATGATTTAAATGATACAAATTTACCGTACATTACAGAACTTGTTAAAAATGGTACTGGTTGCTTTTCTAATTATAAACAACAACCATTCTCGACTGCGACACAAAAAACGATGGTAATATTAATAAAAGACAATAATTTAATAATATAATAAAAAAATTAATCAAAATACAATTAAAATATAATTAAAAATCTTTTTTTATTAAGTAGACATTGATAACTGGTCAACCAACTGGAGTTCTCCATGAAATTTTCACGAATAATGAATTCTCAGCAGAAAATAATTTTCATTCGCTATTCAAGGAAAATGGATTTAAAATCTTTTTTGCTAATTATGACAATATTGAGAAATCTAGATTTATCGAATTTTACCAGAACAGACAATCTTCTACGGTAAGCAAGTGGAAATAATTTTTCTCAATTTATAACTTCTATTTAATATATTTCATAAATTTATTTTACTACATTTTATAAATATATTTTAATATATTTTAATTTATCAATTTTAGAAAATAGACTTAGACTGGTTGGTATTTCATTTGCAAGCTCCAAAATATACTGGATCTCCAAGACTGAACACAAAATTACAGAATTTACGATATTTTGATGCACTTATTAAATCTCTTCATGCAGCCTGCCCATATAATGTATTTACTTATTACAATTTATTCATTATTTAAATATTACTTAAAATTTTCTCACATAACTTTATATTTTATTTATAAATAATTCATTTATAAATAATCTAGATATTACAATTTTATAAATTCTGTTTAATTCTTTTCTCTTTTTTCAGAGCAATTACAAAATTCTAATAATGGGCTATTCTGGTACTCGAATTTTGCAAAATGATTTTAAGAAAAATAAAAATTTGGGTCCTCTTGTTATAATTCAGAACCAGCATTGTGAGATGCAAAAGTAAGTTTCGTTTTATTCATTCTTTTCATTTTATTAAAAATTATGAATTATTAATTAATTACTTAATGAATTATAAATTAATAATTAATTAATTACCTAATGGATTATTATTACTAATTAATTAATTATTACTGAATAAATTACTAATTAATTAATTATTACTAATAATTTACTAATAAATTAAATATTTTTTGAGTTTTAAAAATATGTATTTTTTTTACAGTACCGGGAAATATTTGGAGGAATTCGATTTAACACCATTGATATCTGTTTGGACTCATTTACCAATTCCTTCCTCAAGTTATGGTACAATTGATGAGAATTTCTTGTTTGATTACACGCTGTCTGAGAAAATTTTCGCCTTTTATTATAATACTCAAAAATTATATTATGATTTACGGAATTTAAACGCCACTGTTTATATTGATTGTGAGTATAAAACTAATTGCTAATTATTTATTTAAATTTCAAAATTTAATTATTTATAATATTTAATATTTTTAATATAATTAATTTTTTTATTTACATTATACATAATTATCAATATTTAATTATTATGTTAATTATTATTTATTATTAAATAAATCAGATAAATAAACAACAGTATTAATTAACGTACTTTTTTCCAAACAGCATTGATTCCAATTTTTCGAAAAACTGTGAATAATCATCGTGAATATTTACAAAATGGTGAAAAAAATGAAATTGCCGCTGAAACGATTTTGAAAGTTTACGAAAATTTAATGAATTCATTTTCAAAAATCATTCATGATCTTCGAATTCAACAGAATGCTACTCTTCAATTTTTGGCATTTATTCTTCTAATCGAGGTAATTTTTATTATGTAAATTTTGAAACTACTTTTCTCTGGTAGAATTTGAGTATAATTTTGATTTTTTTTAGGCTTTGGTAATAATATTGAACACATCTTGTACGAGTACGAAAAATCTCAAAACTTTTACTTCTACATTTGGAATTCACGTTATTATTCTCGTATTTGTCCTATCGATGGGAACTTTAAGAAGAGTCACTTCTTTTATTTCTATGACAAAAGAAGAAGCAATTATACTCACGATTATTGCAACAATCATGTTTTGCAATTCTGTCATTCTTGTACAGCAGGAAAATTTTCTCTCTACTTTCTTCTCGGTGAGAAAAATTATTTTCTTTCTTTCATTTTTATGATATTTTTATTTATTATTAACAAGAAAGAAAAATGGAAATATTTTATTCTTTTTATTTATTTCTTGAGAAATTTGAACTTTTAGTATTTATATTGAAAAAACGCAAGATTTTTGTTTTTGAAAACAATTTTATCATTTTTAGAATTTAATGGCAAATGCAAGAAAATCAAGGGAAACATTAAGAACTTTATCATTAACAATTGATCATCCGGTTGTCATTAAGAAGAATCCAATTTTTATGGCTCTACTATTGGGAACTATTTTAAAATCATTCAGTTTATTAGAAAATAATTTTATCAAATGTGAAAAAAGTATCTGGATTTTTCTTTGGACTAGCATTTGTTTCTGGATTGTTTATAACAAAGTGAAATCATATTTTCTACTGTTCTACTACAAAATTTCTATTGGTCGAATTGATGGAGAAAATATTGAGTCATGTATAAAAACAATAATCGCCCTCTTTAATTTAATTTTCTTCATGAATATGATCAATTCATTTTTTACAAGTACCGAGTACTGGTTGCATCCCAAGTTTGATTCACTTCTTTTGTTCATTGGTATAGTGTTAAAATTTTAATATTTTATAATAAAAACAATATTTTTTAAAATATTTTATAATAAAAACAATATTTTTTTTAGTATTTTTTATAAAATAATTCTTTTTGATATTAATAATTAAAACAATTTTTAATGTTTCAGGTCTTATAATGACTGCTCTTCTGTGCAGAAGTTTTTATGAAGAATTATCTAATAAATTTGAGAAAATCATAATATCTATCTACTTGATTATTACAATATGTGCAATTTATGCATTAAAAGTTGCTGAAGGGAAGGCTACCTTTTATTTTTTCTCAATTTCAAGGTAACATTTTTTCTTTTTTGAAAATATTCTATTTTTATAGAATAGATTAAATGGAATAAATTATTATTTTTATTGTTCTTATAATAAATCCTTATTAGAAAAATGGAGTAGAATAAATAAAAGAAATCATAAGAATAATAATTGTTATGATAAATTTTTACAGGAAAAAAATATTAATAGTTTTTTCAGTTAAAAATTAATAATAATTTGTTAACATTTAAAATTTTATTTTCTAATTTAAATATATTTTTATTTCAGCACTGGAAAAACAGAATTAATATTAATTTGGAGTGGATATTGTTTTTGTTTAATATACAATCTTGTGATGTTCATTAGGAAAACTTGTATTGGCAAAAAATCAAGTGCAATCGAGTTATTGATCACTTTAATTGCATGTTGTTCGGTGTTTATGACTTGTCAGAAAAGTACTCCAAATATTATTATAATTTTAATGGAAATAATTTTTAATCTAATAATAATAGTAATACTTCAGAAAGATAAAAGTCTTATATTGCTACATGTTTGGCTCGGACATTTGTTCTATAATTATCAGGTATATTTGAGACTCTTAATTTTTTTCTATTATACTTAAGAAGAATTTTTCTTTTGAAAAGAATTATAATTTAAATTTAATTAATTAATCAATTAATTTAATTATTTTATATTCATTTAATTTTGTTTTCTTTTTAGGAAAATTACGTCCTCAATGCAGACTATATAGAAGAAGTAATTTACAATTTATCTTCAGTGGACTTTAATTTAATAATTAATGGATTGACATCAATTTTGAATCAATTTTCCCCGCTGATTTTGACCTATTTTTTTTGCATTCTAGGACAAATAGATGCCAAAAAAAGGTATTTTTTGGAAATTGATTCTAATTAATTTATTATAAAAAATATGGAATATTATTTATTATTTATTATTTATTATTATTTATTAATAAATTATTATATCGTATAATTTATTTTCTATATTAGATTTATTCTTATTATAATTTAATTTATATTTAAATATAATTAATTATTATTATATTATTATATTTTATTAATTGCAATAAATAATTTAATTATAATTGCAAATAACTAATTATAATTAATTATAATTAGTTAAAAATAATAAATTCTGAATTAATACGATTTTCAAGATTTTCCAAAAGTGTGTTGAGAGTAAATAAAACTTACATGAGTTGTCAACTTTTGATAATTATTATTTACACACTGGGAATAATATTTCGATCTCCAAACGAATGGTCCTGGACATTTATTTATCTGAAACTCCTTTACGAAGTGATCTACATAATATTATTTATTTTAATATCATTGGGCATTCAAACTTTCGCTAGTTTACATGACATTATTGCAACACCTTCATTTACTCCAGAAATTGTATAATTTCTTTAATAAAGATCTAAATTTTCTTGTATTAACTTTTTTGAATAACAATTTTTACGAGAGAGAAATTTAAACTACCGCCATTTTTTCAAATGAAGAAATCAAAAGCATTTATGTTGGCAGAAGTGTCAGGTAGGTTAGAAATTTCGTAATGTTGGGTTGGCATCACTTCTCATTGCAATGGCTTCGCTCGATGGTGAATTTACTGCTCCATGTGACCAAAAATTATATCTAATCAATTATTAAAGATCTTAACGTTAATTAAACAAAGTTTTCATTAATTACATTCAGTATTATGTAAAGAATCAAAGTAATATATAAGTTTATGGAAAATTATGAGAAAAGTCAATATATTTTGGAAAAATTTTTCCGACATAAAGATAACCTAAAAATTTTGACAATTGCATTTTTGCGATATTGCCGCTAGGTGGTACACGGAGCTTTTGCACTGAATTCAAAAGTAAATTTTATACAGGTAATGTATATAATTATGATTAATATTTAAGAAAATATTCTGATGAATAATTAATTTTAATAAAGTAACAGGCGACGAAATATTTAATCTTAAAATAAGATCGACATTATTAAATATCTGTTAATGGACAATGGTTTTTTTTTACAGTTAGATTAGTGTCACTGTGAGAATTATTAGTTCTTTCATTTTCTTCTATTGGCTACGCTGGTATTTTGACTCTCAGACTCATTCACACTCCACATTCGGCGGACAAAACAAAACAACTGCAACGTGCGATCAAGACGCGATGAATTGATAAATTTTCTCTATTTTCTTCTTTAAAAAGGTAAGAATTTTTGTATTTCTTAGTAAATTCTTGTTCGTTTTTTGTGAATAATTGATTCTTTATTAGTTACTCATTAAACTTTGGCGAAAATATTTCGTATTGACACCCACGTTACGAGTAACGGAAATTTTATCAAAAGCGGTTCAATAAACAAACTATTATTGCAAGCATTTAAAGATTACTCTAATTTAATGCAGTTTTGTATAAATTTTAATTACTTAATGATAATTTTACTTGGCTATACATATTGTCTCAGTTTTTTTTAAATTTTCCCAAAATATGTGTTTCAATAGTTCTCTCGATATATTTTTGCAATGTGCGCATTTTCGGAGCATTTGAAAACAACGAAATATCTCCAAAGGTAAAGATTCGAGCTTATTTACTCTTGGTAAAAAAGACTTTGTGATAATTTTCTACTTTACCAGTGATATCGCGTCATCATTTAAAATCCTAACCTTAACTGACATATGTAAACAGCTGATTTCCTTCCGTTCAATATTTACAGTTTTTGTTTAAAAATCAATGAAAAATTAATTACATTACGTTTGCGCTTTCAATGAAAAGTGTGTAACAAAGTTCGATAAATAAAAAGGAATTGTTATACAAAAATGGGAGAACCAGAAGGTAAGTTTGATTTTTTGTAAATATTTTGAAAAACATGAATTCTTGATGTCAACAAACATACAATATATGGTTTTTTTACATTATATTTTTATATAATATTAAGCACAATATTATTATTTCGCATAATATTATATTATATTATTAATATTATTATATTATATTATTATATTATTACATTATATTATTATTCTATTAATACATTATACAATTAAATTGTCTGTAAATACTATTATATTGAAAATATTTAAGTATATAAAAACTATTTACATTTTATTGATTTTAAACTAAACTGTTTACATTAAAAAAATTTTAGATTCAAAAATTACGTCAACACAAAAAACTTTATCGTCTTCTCACGATTCAGGATGGAATGATCCACCAATGCGGGCCTTTAGTGCAACGAAAAGTTCTTGTACAACACCAACGAAGAGACTGTTAAACAAACGAGTTGCATTTCCATTAAATTCAACGGCCAATACTTCAAATCTTTCGAATCAAACTCCAATGCCCATTCCATCAAATCTTCCGCCTCCACTATCATGCAAAGAGAAAATAAACAATTCCCCTCTGCAAGAATCAAGTAATGGAGAACAAGAAGAACGAGATTCTAATTCATTCATTCTTAAGGAGGACTTACTGAAAGAAGTATTGGTTAATTTAGATGTACTTATGGAAAAGTATGTTCATTCTGAGACGTCACAAGATGTCAGAAAGAGAATAGAAATTATGAGAAATTTATTAATTGATAAAAAATTAGACAATGATATTCAGACGAGAATTCTGAATTTACTAAAAGGTTAGTGTAGACAAAAATTGATAAAAATATTATGAGCCTAAAGAGCTCTGAGTGTACGAACGAATTTCAAATAATGGAATAAAAATTTATTTCTTTTTCAGAATTAAATTACAATAATTAAAATTCAAAGAATTATCAAAGAACAATTTTCAAAAATCAAAACTACTTTTTCTATAGAAAAAGAATTAGTTTTGATTTTACATTTATAACTATAAATTATTTGAAATAGTTTTTCCTTCCATTATAATATTTATAAAGAAATTTTTTTTCGATTTTTGAAAGATGATGGAAAATTAATTTTTCCATCATCTTCCAAAAATCGAAATAAATTTCTTTATAACTATAAATTATAATTAATTATTTATTAAACGATAATTATGATTTAAATAATTTTTTTTTTAGCTCTAAATGCAGAAGATGTCGAGAAGGCGGACAAACTTCAGATTTCATTAATGATGGCGAGAGGTTCTTCTTGTTCCTCTTGGCTTCCTGGAATTAGACATTTGATTTTTGAAATGAAATCGAAAATAACTAAAAACGACACAGTTGTAAATAGTGATACGGATACGAGTTTAATTTCAACACTTTCTTTAGAATGAATTTCGTATTAAAAATGAATTTTTAAGAGTGATATTTCTATTTCTATAAAAAAATATTTATTACAGAGTTGAATTAGTTTTTATATGAGTTAGCATTTGTAATATTATCTTTTTTGTTTTTTTTAAAGTTGAAAACATTTTTATTATATTTCTATCACAATCTATATTTACAAAAATTATTATAAAAGTTAATTGTTAATAAAGTTTGATACAGAGTTTGCAAATGACAGTAATGTTTTAAATTGGCGATTGAATCCTTGAGTGTTTTGGAATTTTCATTCTATTTCATTTTTTCTGAGTGAGAATTCAATTAATTAAATTATTCTTATTCAATTATTAAATTATAATTAACTCTAAATCTGTTCTAAAGAAACGATATTTAAATGTTTTTTTAAAGAAGTTTTCTTTTTATCTACTTCCTTCAAAGTAGAATTTCAGTCGAAAATTAAATTTTTGGGTTAATAATTAATTTATAGTAAATTTACATTTCACTAAATTTAATAAATAATAATTAAATTTACAGTTAATTTACATCATTCAATTTTATACTTTTATTCGAAATTATTTTATTGTAAAGTTCAATCATAATTTATTATCAAATTTATTATAATTTTTAAATTTTAATAATTTGTCATTTAATAAATTTTACTAATTGTAAACCACGATTAATTTTAATTTTGTTAATAATTAGTTTATAGTAAACGTTAATTTAAATAATTTAATTTTATAATTTTTTTAATTACTTTATTTTAAAGTTTTTTACTATTAAAATATATTAGCAATTTTATTATGAATTTATAATTCACAATTTTATTATTAATTATAAATTACGAATAATTTAAGTTATTTGTTGATAATTCATTTAAACCTTAATTTAGAGAATTAAATTTTATATTTTTGCTAAAAATTATTTTATTGGAATTTTTTTAAAGTTTTTTATCAAAATTTATTTTCAATTTTATTATAATTTTGAAGTTTATTATTTTACTAATTATAAATTATAAATAATTTTTTTGTTAACAATTAATTTATATAACTCAATAACTATGGTTAATTTACATAAATTAATTTTATACTTTTGTTCAAACTTATTTTATTGTAAAGTTTTTTACTATTAAAATTTATTATCTATTAATTTTATTAATTATTAATAATAATAATAATTGTGACTTTTTTGTGGCCTTTGGTCCAAAGTTGTTGCTGGACAAAAAAGTCACAATTATTATTTATCCAAATAAGGTCCTTTAAATAAATTAAAATTTTATTAATTATTATTATTATTATTACTATTATTTTATATTATAATTGTACTAGCTAAAAATTATATTTAATAATTATTAATTTTCTAAAACTGTGTGTAAATGTTTTCAAAAAGTAGAACGCAAATATTTTGAAAAAAATATTTTACTCTATTTTTTTTCAATTTTCAAAGAAAAAAACTCATTAATGTTGAACTATTGTCAAACATTGGAAGTTGTATTTGAATAGTAATAAAAACAAAAACAAAAATTTCAGATACGAGTGATTTAGTAATTTTAGTTTTTAATTTTACGCAATCATTCCCATTTCGCAAACAAATATTTTTTTTAATTAAAAATCTCTTTTGTGTGCGTAATTTCGAATGAAAAAGTGCAAATTTTTCATTTTCTCTTTCTGGAAAAATTCAAATTAGGAAAATTAAAAATTTTTTTTCTAAATTATTCAGTGATGTTGTGAATATCCTTCTGAAGATTTCCTTCAAGTTTTATTATGCAAAAAATTGTTTTATCGGAGGAGGAGATTGAAGTGAAATTACTTTCTTTGAGCGCTTTTTCATTTTGATTGTAGTGAATCAATTCTTTCTTACTCACAAAAAAAAAAAAATAAGAGAAAAAAAATGAGAATTTATATTAAAAAAAATTATGAAGAATCATGATAATTGTAATAAGACAAAATTGTTCATTTAGTAGGCTAATAAATAAATAAAGTTTATTATTATTATTAATATAACAGTAAATAGGAATTTTATAATAATTAATTTAATTATTAACTATTAATTCGTTACTATATTTTTGATATTTTTTATTTATTTATTTGTTTGTTTATTTTGTTCGTATTTAATATTATTATTATTACTTTTTTAAATATTTATTATTTATTTTCACTCTTATATTGATTAATAATAGTATATTAATAATGATAGTATTGATATTAATAAATAATTTAAATTATTATTAAATAATATCTATATTATTAATATTAAAATTATAATAAATTTATAATAGAAACCTAATAGTTTGAAAATAAAATTTCAGTGTATCTGTGGATTATATAATTAAATTTTGTGTAATATAAATTATTAATGAATTATTAATTTAATAACTCTCTAAATCTAAATTATTCTATTAATTATTTGACTAATAAAATTGTACAGACTCGTTCATTAACCTCTTTAGATTTAAGTTAGTAAAAATGTTTACTAATTTGAATTAGTGACTGACTTTTTGCTTTTGAATTAGTAAATTTTACTAATAAATAGTAATTTCTATTAATTTGGTAGTGAAAGTTTTTACTAATTTAAATTTAAAGAAACTGAATTAGTGAACAATTTTACTAATTGAAATTGAATAAAAATGAATTAGTGAACATTTTTACTAATTTAAATTTAAAGAAAATGAATTAGAAAGTGTTTTGACTAATTTTTAGTCAGAAACTACTAATTGATAGTAGAAGAATACTAATTTATTAGTTAAGACTACCATTTTAATTAGTAAATTTTACTAATTGCTCAAGTGGTCTTAATAAACGAATTAGAACTTTTCTATTATACTAATTAGTAGTTTTCTTTACTCATAATTAGTCTACACAGTTATACTAATTTATTTAGTAACTTCTACGAATTAAAATAGTTTCCTTAACTAGGCTACTACTATACTTAGTAGTTAGTAGTTTTCTTAGTAGTTTTCCACTGTAAACTAGTAGCTTTTGACGAAGAATTAGTAAAAATTCAGTTTTAAAGGAGTATATAAAATTATGAATTAATTTTTAATTAAAGTTTATTAATATTATCTCTAAACGTTATTTTCACTTGATTAATTGAAACAAATCTATAGTTATGCGGCTATTAAAAATCCTCAGTCACGCTTGTTGCCTACGAACAATGTGCGAATGTTAGACTAAAATTGGAACAGAGTATAGTGAAATGGTGGGTTCGTATGTTACCACTCGCCTTCCACACCTCATAAATTTTACGCTTGCGTTTGCATTTGCATCGAATGAGAGTGTGTTTCCGGATTTATAATTGCGCACACATCTTGTAATGGGTTTATTGTTTAATGAATAAATACCGATACATATCGTTACACGCATAGTCAAATGGTAAATTGATATCAATTCATTCCTTAAAACAGGGTGTCCAGCGGTCAGGAAAGTCATAGAAATATCAGAAAATTTCATTTAAAGTCAGGGAAATTTCTATAAATTTATAAAAAAAAAAATATAGTAAAAATATAGTAATTTTATAAAACAGTAAATAATGAAAAGACAGTAAAGAAAAATAAAAGACAAAGAAAAAGACAGTAAATAATGAAAAGACAATGAAGAATAAAAAAGACAATATTCATTAGGTAAACATAGTTTTTATTCGAATTTATTTAAGTGGAAAAAAATTATTAATTTTGATAAAGGAATATTAAATTTCTGTATTTGTTTTTTTTTAATTTTAAAATGAGAAGGTAAAATTTAAATAAATGTTTATTTTGAAATTATTGATATTGATTAGAATTTATATTTTATATAATTAAATAAAACCTTGACAAGCAAAAAAGAGGGGTCTTTAAAGGCTTTTTCTTTATTTTCTTTGTTGGACATTTTTTTTTAAATTAAATAAAGTGGAAAATAATGAAGTTTATTTGAAGCTATGGCAAATATTGATTTTTGAGAGTGACATCTGCATTCCACATTGAGTAGTTTCCTTGAAAATCTTGAATTATATTGATAATAATTCCTTTAGCATAAGTACAGATGTCTCTCTCTTTCTCTCTCGTAATTTATTTATTAATTTATTTTCTAATTATTCGTCTTAAATATTTTAAAATTTTATTTTTATATAAATTTATTTACTTGAATTAGAATAACAGAAGTTTCATGCAGAAAATAGAGTATTCTTACTGTAAATTATGTTATTATTTTTGTTATTTTTTCTGATGCTCTTCACTTTATAAATGTAAATTAATCATTCTAATAATTAAAGAGTGAGGATTCTTCTACTAATTTTTATTAGAAAACAACTAATTTTATAGTAGAAAACTATGTAGTGTAATTTGATAGCAGGGATAACAGCTGCAAATAAGTAAATAAGGGGACTATGGTCCCCTTATGTATTTAACATAAATTTTCTCTTTCTCCCTTTTTTGTCCCCTTAAATTTATAAAATCCCCTAAACCACCTAAAATCATATGCATATCTTCTCTTTTTTAAAGAAAAATTTATAAATATTGGCATTTTAGTAAAACTCAAACTATTTGCAATATCAGTCAACTTTATTTCCAGATTTTAAGTCTGTATAGTAAATTTTACTATTTTTACAGTTATTTTTTATATAAAAATTAATTAAAGTTTCTTCGAAAGTACTTCAATTTGTTAATAAGTATTATTAATCAAAAGAAATCTCTCCATTAATATAAATAAATATTATTTCCAAAGTAAATTTTATGATTTCTTAAGTAAATTTTTCTAATTTTTATGCAGGAATTTTCTTCGCAAATAGTCAACGTTATTCTGGAAATAATAATTTTTCATAGTCAATTTTATTATTTTTAGAGGACGTTTTAAAAAGTCCAAAGTGAATTTGACTAATTTTGACTGAAATTTAATTTAGATATAGTAAAATTCATGGAATTTTAAAATAATAGTAGCGTTCTAGCAAAAACTAGTAATTTAGATTTAGAGAGTATGTGCTATATGAGAGATTTCTTTTGAAAATCTCTTTTTACAAATCTTGAGGATTATGAATTTACAGTATATGTATATAGTTGCAATGTATACTGAAATCTGTTTGCGCATTTACACGTGGGCAAATGGAAACAGGATATGGATTTGAGGATAATGAACGTAATCGATAAGGCATTGTTAATAAGTTTAATTAATTTGGTTTGAAATTACATATCGGATTAAAATATTTTCATATAGGTGGTTGTTTTTTTTAATAAATCTTCCTTTATCACTATAATAACAATTTTGAAAATTTCT